AGGTCGAATCTTTAATCAAATGCCCAAAGTCAACCAAAAAGTCAACCCGAGACCGCACCTCAGAACCCAAAAAAATTCACAAATCTAACAACCCATTCGAACACGAGTTCAACCATACTAATTTTACTCAAATCCGACCGTGAATCGATGTTCAAAACTCAATTATTCACTTTAGAAAAGTTTATACAAAAACCCTCAATTTCTATTTTAGAATCATCAATCAATGCCAAAATCGAAGATGGAATCATGGAATATAATCAAAATCGAGTTAAAAATACTTATCCCAATCCATGTGGTAAAAATTTTCTCCAAAATCGTCCAAATCCGAGCTTGATAACTCAAAATAGGATAAAATAAGCTCAAGGTCCGAAATAGAGTACTTATATGCACTGTCCAGTAGTACCCTACACGATTGCAGATGTATCTTCACGAGCGATGCACAAAATCACACTGCCACAAAATAACACTAAGCATTCGCGACACATACCTCAGGAATGCGATGCACAGCTGAGCCCAACCTTCACGAACGCGACGCGGTTCACGCGAATGCGAAGACAACTCTACCAGTCCCCAGCTTCCCTATGGGAACGCGGAACCAATGGCGAGAACGCGGATAACAACCATCTCAAACCTTCTTGAACGCGCTCATCATGTCGCGTCTGCGATAAATAAAAACACCCAGCTCCAAGAATCGCTACGCGATCACTGCTTCATCTTCGCAATCGTGTAGAACAACTGAAACACCAGATATCAGCAGAAACCGACAACATCCAACATGGCCCAAAATGGTCTAAAATACGTCTGAAACTCACTCGAGCCCCTCGGGATCCCATCCGAACATACCAACAAGTCCCAAAATATAACACGGACCTACTCGAGGCCTCAAATCATACATAAAAATATCAAAATCGTGAATCGCACCTCAAATCAAGATTAATGAACTATTTCAAATTTCCAAATTCCAAACTTACACCGAACATGTCAAAACAACTCGGAATCACCTCAAATTTTGCACACAAGTTTCAAATGACATAACGAACCTATTCAAACTCCCGGAATAATAATTCGAACTCGATAACATCGAAGTCAACTCCCGGACAAATCTATAAGCTTTCAAATCTTCAAATTGCCAACTTTTGCCGAATAGTGGCAAAACCTTCTAGAAGCATCCAAATGCGGATCCGGGCATACTCTCAAGTCCAATATCACCCTCCGGACCTAACAGAACTATCAAAACTCCAATACGAGGGCAAATACATAAAAATCAAACTTTGTCAACTCTTCCAACTTAAAGCTTCTAAAATGAGACTCATTCTTCCAAATCAATCCCGAACCATTCGAAAATAAAAAACTGACGATACACGTAGGTCATAATTTACCATATAAAGCTACTCAAGACCTCAAACTACCGAACGGAGTACAAATGCTCAAAACAACCAATCAGGTGTCTTACAATTTAACCCTAATTGCAAAAATTAAATGACACAAAAAACTTAACGTGAAAAGGACACAACAGGATGATGGAAATGTGGCAATATAAAGAAATCTTTTTGTTTAGAAAACAAACGGTTCGTGATCCCATAATCTTAAATATCATCCATTCAATCAACCACCTTGACTATTTTTCTCAGAGAATATTGGTCGCGTCATTTCTCTCAGATGGAATTAGTTAGTACACATCCGTATTTTGTTTATTAATTTTTATTACTATTAGTAAGCTCAAGGGCAATATTAAATTCAAGCAAGAACTATGAGAAAACCTTTGCATTTGCCCAGACAACCATTGCTTCCATTTGCCTTATACAGACATAAGGATCAAAGATTGGCAAAGATTAACATAGAGTAGCAAAGACAGATAGGAAATAGCTCACTATTAGGGATGGCAATAGAATTCACTACTAACATCACTTTTTCTGGTGGTTATGTGTGAAAATCTTATGAGTGTGCAGTTCCACTTTGACCAAAAGACAATATTGGTTCAACTTCTTAAAATTTGAAGAAATCCAACTAACAGTCTTCTTGCCAAAATCATAACCACCAAGAAAGATATCTCCCTAAGTAGACAACGTTTCAAAGACAATATTTACACTTTCAAATTTGACACAACAAAATTGCCACCTCCAGGATCAAAAATCAAAATTATTTGTTCAAGAGAGTAAGATATTTGTAATCCTTGACACTATTAAGCTCAACTGGTTCGAGGGCTCCATTCCTATGTGAAATTGAGTAATCATTTTGGTTAAATGCTTCACAAGGTCTTTACACTTGTGTTGTAGGTCATTTTCCATTTTTTCTATAATTAAAGAGGTTGTTTCTACAACTTATTTGTGTAAACCACTGGGCTTCTAAGTAAGAGAATGAAGAAGATCACTGAAATAAAAGAGAACGGGGGAAGGGGTTTCATGGGAGACGGTCGAATTGTGCATTGAGGGTGTCATAATTCCATACTCAATTTCTGGTTGTATTTACTTTTTGGTAGACTCTTTGAGGAATTAACCCCCTTTCTGTTTATCTTCGTAGACATTGTATTAAAGTCATGGTGTATCCTGAATTTGTACGATTTGCTTTCATCTACGGTTTACTCTTCATTATCACAATCTTGATCTAAGCCTTCTTGAGAGAGCTTCCACAAGTAACAATAACAATAATTACAATCAAGAAATTACAATCAAGACAACAACAACAATAACAATAAAACCAGTGAGTTTCCACAAGTAGAGTCTGAAAAGAGTAATGTATACGCATACCTTACCTCGGGGACCTTGAGAGAGCAGAGAGAGAGAGGCTAGAGAGTAGATAAAAAAAAGTATTGTCCACAAGTAGTAACAACAACAAGAAGATATTAAGAAAATCAAGGCGAAAGATACTAATCAAACAATAGATAAAGATAGCAATCTACGAGTAAAAGGAATATCGTACCATTAATGCTACTGGTCTAAGAAAGAAAGAGCAAAACGCTCGACTACCAACTAGCCTTCTACCCTTATTCTCGACCTCTACACTAGGGGTGTTCGTCGGTCGGTACGATACGGTATTTAGACATTTCGGTTCAGTATTTTCGGTATTCGGTTTCTTAAAATGCTATACCAATACCGTACCTAATTAAATTCGGTATGGTTCGGTTTTTCTCTTTTCGGTTTCGGTTTATTCGGTTCAGAAACTTCGGTTTATTCGGTTTGAATACTAACAAGTGCATAGAGTCATAGACTATAATATTCATAATTAATTAATGTATTCAAAAGTACAAAACAGAAAACGTTTGTTGACAAAAGTTTTGTCCAAAACCAGCAAATATCAACCCAGAGAGAGAAAACTACACATAAAAAAATAAATTTGATCATTAGAAATGTCTTCTTACTTGCTTAGAGTTAATTGATGAACTTAGAGAATAAAGAAAACTAAAATTTTAATTTTTTATATTTATGTTATAATTAATAATATGTGTTTTGTGTAATATAATATATATTTTGGTACGGTATCGGTATTTCGGTATTTCATTTAAAAATATCAAATGCCATACCTAATACCATATTTTTTAAAAACTTAAACCAAATACCATACCGAATACCAAAATATGGAATACCAAATACCAAAATTTTCGGTTTCGATACGGTAATTCAGTATTTACCAAATTATGCACAGCCCTACTCTACACCCTCTTATCAAAGGACAATCCTCGATAAGCTCCAGAGCGTCATATCCTGCCTAATCACCTCTCCCCAAACTTTTTTGGTCTACCTATACCCCTTCTCATACCCACTATGGCCAACCTCTCATACCTCCTAACTTGGGCATCAGTACTTCTCCTCTTCACATGTCCGAACCATCTCAGGCTCCCTCCCGCATCTTATCCTTCACGGGGCCACTCCTACCTTTCCCCGAATAACTTCATTCCTAATCTTATCAAATCTGATATGCCCGCACATCCATCTCAACATTCTCATTTCATTTCAGCTACTTTATCTTCTGGACACAAGAGTTCTTGACTGACCAACACTCTGTCCCATACAACATAATCGGTCTAACCACCACTTTATAGAACTTACCTTTAAGTTTTAATGGCACATTCTTATTACACAAGACACCGGAAGCGACCTTACATTTAATCCACCCTCCATTACAATCAAGAATTTTAGGAAATAGAGAGAAATTGAATGAGAAAGAAGAAGAATAAGAAGAGAANAACTTTCCCCATCACAAGACATAAAATTAAAACAAAAGCGTAATTAACCAAAAATCCGGAAACAAAAATCTCTGAGAGAGAGAGAGAGAGAGAGAGAGAGAGAGAGAGAGAGAGAGAGAGAGAGACCAGAATATTCACAAAATAAATTTCTCTTTTCACGTCACTCTTATGTACACTTATATGAGGGTAAGCACGCGCCTCCCATGTGACCTTAATTAACTTTGGGTCATGACAGCAAATACCTGTTGCAGGGTCATTATAAAGAGTTTCATTAGGAATGATCCCCAACTGTGCTTTGAGGGGATTTTCCTTATTTTTCTCAATCTAAAATTACAGCCTCCTGAATAGTCCCAATGTAAAAAGTTTATATAGAGTTTTATGATGCCCTAGACACTGTTTTCAGTCAACATAGAATTTTAATTGAGTTCCCTGGTAAAATTATGATATGTAGTGGTATTAATGGCAGCCATAGTTAAAAAATAGCATGAGCAGAAAGTGTGAAGAGGAAAAAAACTGCAGAGGTGTCAACAACTTTTGAAAATTGCAAGCCACAAAAATTGAAGGGATAATCCCAAGACTGACAACCAGCCATCAGTATCCACTCTGAAGAAAGTGAATGGAGAAAAACTGGTCGCTTTCGAAGCATCAGCTCAGGATAATTATAGCCATATTTGATATCTTTGGGGAATTTAGAAGTATATATGTATGTAAATGCTCTTACATAGGACTCAATCTCCTCTCAGGAAGAGTAAAAAATCCAGGTTGGCCACAATCCTGCGTAATAACTTAAAACAGAATGTTAGACGCGACCACAATGTGAAAGGCAATTTAAATTATTTACAAGTGCCTGTATCAACCTCAACAAGGATTCCTGGGACTAAAATTTCAATTTCCCTATTAATTTTAAATTCAACAGAGACCACCGCTGGTGCGCTAGTCACACCTATCGCAGGAGGTACAGTCATGTGGAAATGAAATAGCTGGAGACATAAGTTTAAAGAAAGAAACCTCTACTTTGCTAACACTGCAGAAGGAGCTAAGTTATCCAAACTGAAGTCCAAAAAGCTGAGATATCTAAATCTCAAAATCTGCAATTCTCTACTCCTCTTTTTCTTTCCCTTTTCTTTTGGCTGATAATTCCCAGTACAAAATAATTACAGGGGGGCAAATTATCATACAATGAATCAGAGACATCATGACATGCTGGTATGCATCTTGAACATGCTAGAAGCTTTATACATGTTGGATTTAGCAGCATCAAGCAGTGGATCTGCCTGGATCGCCTTGTTGAAACAGTTCTTGGCTTCTTCCCATTTTCCTTCAGCAACACATACAAGACCTAAATTGTTTAAAGCTGGTGCATACCCAGGCTGCAGTTCAAGTGATTTGGTGAACATTGCCTTTGCACGTTCATACTGTTTTATCTGCCGATAGAGGTTCCCAAGGTTTGAAAATATTGTGTGCGCTTGTTTTGATGTAGCTAGTGACAAGGCCTGTATATAAACCTCTTCAGCTGGAGAAGACTCCTCGGACAGTTGCAGTGAAATACCTAGAGTGCAATTTCTTTTCAGAAGATATGAAGGCTATATTCACGATAACTAAAACTGGGAAAGAAAAGAGGTGGAAAAGAGATGTGGATGACATTGAGTAAAATGCATTTACCAAGATTTGACCAGGCATACGTGCAGTCCTTACGACGTGCAACTGCAGCCTTGAGGTACTTTTGAGACGTCCTAAATTGTTGGGAACAAAGACTATGAAGGCCAAGTTGATGCCATTGAACAGCATCGGCAGGATCTTCAGCTATTGCCTGTCATTTGAAAAATCAGAAATATGAAATCAAGTCCTCAGTCCAAACTTCATCTTTCAAGAGTGTAACAGAAAATAATGAAAATCAAAAGTCAGGAAGCAGATGTAAGGTAGTAGAATAGCTTTAATGCAATAAAGTCAGGCAAGAAAGAGTAAAAAACTAAGTTCCTTTCACTGTAAAAAAAAAAAAAAAAAGTTCAAGCAGTTCAAACTCCTAAGCAACCTGGTCTGTTACCAGTTGCACCACAGAGGAAATATATATAGATCACCTTATCATATAATCAACCAATAAATAACCTATCCCCTACCGGAATCTGAATTTACCAAACTAAGCAATAAGTATCAGTTAGAAATATAAAAATTTAACGCCTACTTGCTTTAGACTGTAGATTGCATGCTCCTTGACTTCCACCAATTCATTATGCTCTATTTCAAATCCTGCCACAATTTCGTGTTGGGCCCTGTGGACCATGGCAAGACCAGCCCATGCTATTGGAGACTCTATTGAAGTAGAATCTCCTTCTCTTAGTATCGAGGCCATTTCATTCCCAGCCCATGAGAGCTGCTCATTGGGATTCTGGGACCTCTCTGCATCCCTGATGCGGTGAACTCCAACCGCATATCTTGTTGCTAAGCAATTAGGCTCGATTTTTCCTGCCTACGCATTATAGCAAAAAAAAGAAGTTAAATTACTTATACAAGGACAACATTAGTGCATCTATTTAAGAAGTCTAGGAACCAATATCTTGTAACAACAGATAAAAGGAGGTTTCGAGCTGTTTGTAGCCTTCCTTATCCAAAAAAGGAAAAGAAAAGAAGCACCTTTTCCAAGCATTTGGCAGAGCTCCTATGATCACCCATCAAGTAATAAGCATTAGCTAGATTTGTCCAAGTGTGAGCAGCTTTTGAGTCCGCTTTTAAAGCTGCTAGTAAACATTCTCTGGCCACATTGGCTGCAATGACTTGATCTGCAGTTGTTCTATCAAGAGCATTTGCCCCCGCACCTGAAACTAACAGCCAAATGCTTACTCTTTACTCTCTGTTTTCTTATTCTTTCAAATATTTACCAGTGTTTTGAAAGGCGTTTTCGGGGCGAGCCCTAGGGCGAGGCGCACCAAAAACGCCCCGGGGCGATGGTGTGGGGCGAAAATCTCAAGAGGCGTACCCTCAGCAATTCGGGGCGTACGCCCGGGGGTTCGGGGCGTAAGCCCGGGCGTTTGAGGCGAGTTGTTTTAGTGAGGCGTAAGCCTAGAGATTTTTTCAAATAAAAACAAAATTTATTGAATAAGTCCTTCATATAATACCCAAATTTTCAAAATTCAGCATGGTAATTACTCAAAAGTTTTAAAAGGGAACTGAAATGTATTAAATTTAAAAGTCAATACCTTTTTTATTGATTGAAGCCCCAATTCATGGTCTTTCCCACTTCTTTATCTTGTCCGCTAGTCTGCTAATATCTCCCAAAACCAGCGAATATTCAATTTTTTTTTACAAATACAAAGAGAATTCTATTCTCCTTCATTGCAGCAAGATCAAAGTTCAAAACTTCAAATTGAAGGTTAGTCATCCTTTTTGTTACTCCATGTAGAAAACTTTATTCTTTTTGACTCAAGTTACTTGAGCTTCTAAGTAGCGTATAATAGATTGTTTTGACTAGTTTTTTGTGAAGATGAAGCACATATATTTTATATATATATATATATATATGTTTCACATATTTATAGTTTTCTTCATTTTTTATGCAATTTTACCTGTATATAAATATTTACTGTAATTATATTATTTTATAAAATATTAAAAATTAAATACCTATGGGGCTTACGCCTCGCTGAGGCATATGTAAAACGTCTCGCCTTATGCCCACGCCTTTTAAAACACTGATATTTACATCCATGTAGAACACATGCTAATGAGCACAATTATAATATTTTTTGCAGTGAATTCGTAACATAAATCTGATAGCCCAAGGCTATAAATTACGAAACAGATAAAATCCTTTTACCTGCAACTACTGAACCAAATTTATATAAGAGAAGGGCAGCATAATTGATTAAAGCAGTAGGATGGTTCTGATCTTTTAGAAGCAGATCTTGGAAGCACTTTTCTGAAAGCTCTAGATTCCCACTGGAAAGACATTGTCAAAGTGATTCAATTCAGGAAAGGAAGTAGCTCAAGTGAACAATATAGGAAAATGTGCNGAATTCTAGATATTAGCCTTATAATCCTATTAGTTTTAGGATATAATACTACACATTAGGAATCTTATTAGTATAACTATTCCCGGGTTGTCTAATTCATATAAAATTGAACAAGTAAATATCTTTTGTCATGTAATCCTATTACTTTTAGGATATACTTCTTAAAAATTCCTATTACTAATTTAATTTGAAAACATATTAAAATGTCCTATTACTAATTTAATTTGAGAATGTATTATATTGTCCAAATCCATTTAGAAAAAATGAATCCCTACATTATTATAAAATTATAAATACAATATTAATATATCAAAATATCCCTAAAATATTAAACGGAAGAACTCATAGGGAAAGGACATAACTGCAATAACCTATTTTTTGGACTATAATACCTTCTATGCTAATTTTTTATATTTAAGATTTTAAATTAATAAAATTGTCTATTAAATTCTCATTAAAAATATGTAGGAAAGTTAATAAAATTAATTTCATAAGAATCCTTCGTATTGGCAATACATTACCACTACATAATGTCCAATACGAAGAAAAAATAAAAGTAATGTTAAATAGACTGCATAAAGAGTTGAAATTGAGAAAAAAAATACCCCCACGATAATATATTTTATTTTATATTTGAACTATTTTTCTACTCAAATAATATGTTTCAATTAATTTTTCGTGTAGTATTAAAAAATAAATAAGAAAATATTTAAGAATATAAATGTGTGAGAAAGAGAAAAACAAAGGTTGGTAAGAGTCAATACCACTAATGATTCTATAAACATAAAGATCTAAAAGTGAAATGTCATATCAATCTTTTACTCATTGAAAATAAAATTTATGGTGGATAAAATTATAATTAAGATTAAATATTCAAAATAAGAGATGAACTAATATTAAGATCTGAATCAACATAGAATAAATTATTTTTTATGTTAAAACCAAATAATTATATCTTTTAATTAATTATTTAGCAAAAGAATCCAATTCAATTATTTCTTAAATTCATCATATGAGTAAAATTCTTATTCAAGTTAAAAAAAAATCTTAGGATATATAAATTTATTCCATAAAAAGAGCGTTAAAACACAAAGTAAAAAGGTTAGAATATTATTAAGAATCAAAATGCAATACAAGTGTCTGAGGAAGCACAATCAAAGCTAAATCCTAAACAAGAACAAGCTTTCAAGACTATATTATAAAGAGTCGACTCTGGTATAACAAGATTATTCTTTGTAGATACCTCCGGCGGAATCGAAATAATATTTCAATGTCATGAATTACTTGCAAATATCATATCAAGAGGCATGACACTGTTAGCAATAATGGCAAGTGGTGTACCAACAACGATTTTATTGTGAGGCCACCCACTTTAGATTTGATATACCTCTTCAAACAACTTAAATAACCATCACAAATATATCAAAGCAAAGCAATTGTGCTAAATTTATAAGGAAAGTAAAATCGATAATATGGGATGAACCACTTATGGCTAAGTGTCAAATGATCGAAATAATTGCCCCGGAGGTCTAGAGATATATTGGATATTAATGAACCGTTTGGTGAAAAATTAATGGTTTGGGAGGTGATTTCTGTCAAGTAGTACCAGTAGTTCCAAAATCAACAAAAGTCGAGACTTTAAAAGCTAGCTTGCCAAAGTTATACTTCTGGCCTCAAACGAAAAAGATTTAACTGACAAGAAATATAAAGTAAGAACATATCCAGTATTCAGTGTCTTCTTGCTTCGTGTCGGAAACGAAGAAGAGCATCCAATAAAATATGGTATGGTTCTTCCTAAACACTTGGTTATCAATCTCAATGGTCATAGTGGTGCATTTAATAAGAGAAATATCGCTATCATTAGATTTTGTGCAAATCGCATGATAGAATTAAAAAAGATATCTTAGCTAGCAGAAATGAATATGTTGATCAACTAAATAAAAGGTTGATTGCAAAATTTTATAGTAAAAACAAAATATTTTTCAGTTTTTGACTCAGCAGAAAATGATACCAATAATTACTACAAAGAAGAATACTTAAATACTTTAATACCAAATGGTCTTCTACCATACATGTTTGTTGTCAAGTTTTTTATTTCTTACGTATGTTATTGTCGCTGTATATATAATAGACTAAGTTAAAATTGATCTTCCATTGTATATAGGTTAACTGTATGTTGAATAATTTATAGGTCAAATTGGACTATATTTAACGCAATATATTTTCTTGCACGAACAACTGTATGTTGCACTTTCAAAAGGGATATCAAGATCGACAACAAGAATTCTGGTTAAGGCAGAGCAACCAACACATTAGGAGGAAACATACACAAAAAAATATTGTCCACAAAGAAGTGTTCGTTAAGATACCATCACATTAAATACTTTTAAACTATAATATATAATTATCTAACTAACTTGACAAAATTGATCGTTTGTGTAAGTTTTGATAATGTCCTTTTATTTTAAATTCATGTATTATGCTAATGTAATAATATTTTCGGCATTTAGATGATTGTTGTTTTATTATGCATAAAATTTCTCTCATTAATTAAATTTTATTGTTCCTTCATATAAATAAATGTTTAAAGCATCACGTGTCATTATTAACGTGCAACGCACGTTCATAGATACTAGTCTAAGAAAAAACAAGAAAAGAAAAAGACAGACAGAGAATCAGAAAATAGAATATGCATTAGATCCAAATACCAGCGTATGGCAGCCAATAAAAGCATAGAAGCTTGCAGCCAATGAGTGCGATAAAGACAATGTAATCAGTGGTAGAAGCTATATTGAACGAAGTATTTGATCAACCTTTCCCGGAGTCCTAAAATCCCACTCAAGTCCATGATTGGTTAAGCTGATTCTCAAGAATGGTGACAGCCTAAAATGGGTAACTGTTTTCACCATTTGCAAGATCTAATTTCGCTGATTGTGTAAGCTCATAGGATTTGCTATGAAGGAAGATTATTAGGAAGTGGTTGAGTCAGGGATCCCTCGAGGTTCTCCCATAATAGATTATTAGGAAGTGGTTGAGTCAGGGATCCCTCAAGGTTCTCCCATAATAGATTATTAGGAAGTGGTTGAGTCAGGGATCCCTCAAGGTTCTCCCATAATGGTGGAATAAGTAGATTACTTCCACAAAATGGTCTCCCTGGCTAAAAGATAAATACTTCTCTTTTAATGGAACGACGATAATGCCATCAGAAGACATTATACTTTTTAGAAATCTAAGGTCAGTATACTTTGTTTTTTGAGCGGTAAGCTTCTGACATTTTCATCTTCAAATCCCATCTTGAGCTCTGCTCTAACTGAAGCTATTGCATGGTTTTTGCCAATGATGCGATCGGAGTCAGCACCTAAGAGCCCCATTACCAGGTTGGACAGCTTAGGCATTATAACCAAGAAGATTTACACCTCAGTAGAATCGAACAGTATAATAAAAAATTTCCACGAAAAAAGAGGATTGTAACTTGTAAGTGAGTCATTCCCAATAAGACACTCAATTCGAACTAATCACGAAGTCCATATGCTGTAGAATGATGCATCAATAGTTTTTCAGCCCAAAAACAAACTAATCTCCCTACAAGTGTTTAAGATATAAGTTCTCCTAGATTTTTTTTCCTTTTCAGTTGCAACATTAGTAGAAATATCATTCAACAAATAGGATATTTTGTGTCTTTGCTCTTTTCAAAACATAAAATACAACATCCTCTCTACCTCTCCAATTTGCTTTTAGCTTCTATGTCAATCCCTTTTTTCATTACTCTAATTTAATCAAAACGCAAGAGAATATTGGAATGATGACATTAATATATACTTTCAATAATACAGTAAGTAGCCTAAAACCAGTAAAAAGGAATGTCCCTTTATACCTCCGGAGACAAGCAATTCCAAGATTACCAAGGCAATCCAGGTTGTCTGGGGATATGTCCAACAAAGTTGAGAAAACTGATATAGCACTCAACAGAAACCATAAGTGTCAAAAGATAATCAGAGAAAGTTCCAAGTACGTCAATGAGTAAGAACAAAATTAACGCGGCTGCACCTGCAAACGACCAGTTCTAAGAAGTATTATGCCAAGAGCATTCCAAATAGACACCTGCGTAACATCAGATTTCACAGCCTCCTTAAGTTTAGCTAGAATATTTTCAAGCTCTTCAGGGTCTAATTCCTCATCTGAACTGCAATCTTCCAACGTTCCAAGCAGAATACACTGCATGGTGGAAGAGATGTGAAAAATATATGAGTAGCAGTAATTACTCGATTAATTTTTAAAGAAAAAACTAATAGAGAAATGTTGACGTGCAATTTCTTTCACTGTAAGTTCAGTCATACCTGTGCACGATGAACCTGGACTAATGAAAGCAACTCTGGCCGATCTATTTCTTCCTCAGGGCGAACTAAAATTTCTTCCGCTTTCTCATATGCCAGAATTGCCTAGAATGAGCTGTTCAGTGCAAGAGAAAATGAAAACTGACCCACAGAAAGAACAGCGCAATCCAAAAGCTACCTTTTGAGGCTGACCCATCCTTTGATACATCAAGCCAAGTACAAAATGAGAATGTGCGTTCTTTGGCATTTTTCGTGCAACGTGTATCAAGCCCTACAAACAAAGTAGATTAATCATGGCAAAGTTTAAACAACTGCACCAAGAAGGTGTTCTCTTTTCTCTTAAATTAAAATAAGATGATTTTACAAGCACAATTACCCTTATTTATCGGAAAAGGTAGGAAGACGATTTTACTGGCACAATCGCCTATCAAGCTTGTCCAGCTATCAATACAGTAAAGATAAATGGCTCAAAATACAACTTACAGTTTTAAGGCTGCTAACTTTTTCTTCCCGAGACGAAGGTACACCTTGAACATTATGATCAGGCTCTGCATCAGCTCCACTACAGTCAGGAGGACAATCTAACTTACCCATTCTTGAACGGCATTTTCCCATTTTTTTCAATTGTTTACCTTCTGTGTCTGCAACCTCTATGTCTTTTTTCAACTTATCCTGAAATATTTCATCAGCTATTACCCTGCAAATATATTAGAACCTGTTTAAAAGTCATAAAATAAATTATCCCAACAATAATGTCAACCTAATAGAGCTAAAGAGAAAAGCAACATAAAGCATCATGGTCGAGGTCAATTACCTCTGCCGGTATAAGGACTCCTTTACATGGCTGCCAGCTGAAATTTTAATAACATATCCTAACAATAGTACAAAGTAGGGCCATCTTCACTTACCACTACTTCCAACCCAAAGGAATGACACACTTATTATTTGGTGAATCAAAGAGCTTTTACTTTGAATATGATCTTTTTTATACTATTTTAGTAATTTCAACTGCAAAAAGTTGCAAGTAATTTATACTAGGACTTCCAAATTCATACAGAATATCCCAAGCCAGTAGTGTACTAGTACAGTGGAAATGTAGAATCAAGCCTAGTCCTCTTTGAAAAGATTAAAATCTGAAACTACCTTATATGATATACAAACTAGACTATAGTTTACCTCAAAAAAGAAGAAGCAGAAAGCTCTGAACAGTTCAAGTCTCTTATCTCTTTTCTCAGCTTTTCTTCAATTTATTTTCATAAGAATTTTGAAAGAACGATAGACAGAAGAAAACAGAAAAGTCTCAAGTAGAACCTGGAGAAACTTGTAGGAGACACAGCAGCGACGGGTACATAATCATTGCCGTCGGAATCAGGAGGATCAACGTTGAGGTCAGCCAAAATGATTTTGGACGGCTGAGATTGCGGAGGCGGGGGCTGTAGCCTCAAGGTGACGGAGGTTCTATCAACGACGGGGGATTCTGACTTCATTGAATGAAATTTGACGGAACTGGATGCCGGAATTTCGGATTTTTTGGACGCCGATAAAAAAGAATCTTCTACTGAAAAAGGTTTCTATTCGGAATAAATATTAACCTTTTGGTCCCTGAATATTTGTATAAATGCAGTTTGTCTCACTATTTTAGTCATTGTATGTAATGGTCCCTAATATTTGATCTGAGGTTCAATCTAATTGCATTTATGAGTATAAAACATTGATAGAAAGATATCCTAATTGCATTGCTAAAACCTATACCTGTGGCTTAGAAAATCGCTCAAAATGGTAGGAGAAAAAAGACATTTATTAAGAAGGAATTTAAAACTAGAAAAGAAAAAAAGGACTTTTATTAGAGATGACATATAACTAAAAGAAGTAACACTTTTTGGGAAAAAAATATGTCTTCTAGTTAAATTTTTATAGAGTACTAACTAGTAGAAGCAAAATTATATATATATATATATTATGCAATGTGAATTTCTACCTTGAAAGAACATTCGATAAGATTGAAAATGCGCTCTAACTTGTAATAGATGCTAGTTTTATGATATGCGTTTTGCGCTTGTACACTGTCTCAATAAAAAAGAATTTTAAAATTTTAAATTTAAATAATATAGTATTAAAATATCATATTAGAGCGATAAAATAAAAGTTAATATTCTCTAAAATGATGAATCTCCGTACACGTTCTCAATCATCAGTCAATATATTCAACTAAAAATATATTATAATTTTTTAATTTAATCACTTTAAATTCATAAGTTATCATGCTTCTTTTCCAATTTCAGCAATCACATATAATACTTGAAAACTTATGATTTTTGTTTATGAAAAGTTATTCACAAGTTCATTTTAGAAGAGTCAAACAGGATTAGCAAATTTATAGAAAATAAAAAAAATCAAGAGTAAAATGCAAGTTGTTTTATTTTGTTAATTAATAATAAATATTATTGAATTATTTCCAATAGATTATAAAAATTATAAATTATTGTAACTCATTTGTATAATAAAATTACATAATTATACGAAAAAAAGGAATTTTGAAAAAGAAAAGAAAATAAGCAACACTAAACCTAAAACTTTTAACCAAAAAAAAAAGTTGAATAAGAAATGGACAAAAATGACTCTTAAACAAAAAACATTACAAAAAAAAAAGAAGAAGATAATACTCGTATACTTATAAAATACTTCTACGTTTAAAAAGATTTTGATAGTGAAGGACTCCTAGAACCGGAAGAAAATTGAAAGAACTCGAATTAAATAATTATATGATTTTCCATACCAAAGTCCTAAATATTAGGCAAATAATTAAATGATTGTCCCTAAATATTAGAAAAATAATTAAATGACTATTCCTGCATATTAGGAAAATAACTAAAATTACTACTTTATTCAATATAAAATATATTCTTAAAGGGTATTAAAGGCGAACAATATTTAACTTTGTACTTTTAATATGGTATAGATTAAGTGGATCCTCTTATGTGAAATCTATATATGTGATCACAATCCTAAATCATTGAGTTGGCTATCAAATATGTTAACAATATAAATATTTTTCACATATCAATGTAATTAACTAATATTTAAAGTATGTATTTTATACGTGTCGCCTCATATGTGATTAGTTCAACTTAATTTCAGTGTTCATATGTGTAGGAATCGATTGGGAGCGAAATGAAATAAATGTGCACGAGTTAAAGCAGAAAAAGAAGAAAACTAGACAAAGTGCAAGTCCAATGCCCAGATTTTACAGCGTTAGGAACAGATTTTGCAAAAGCATAAGAAAAAGCCAGCACCCTGCCTAGCGCGACACGCTTGCCAGAGCCTGCATCCGGGAACTGTCCTATTTCAACTTGGAGAGGGTTTTTTCGGTGTTACACGCCCATAACTTGTATAAAATAATTTCTAAACCTAATTTTGAGGAAAACAGGCAAAACACATATTAGGAGCAAGTTGCAGCAAAGTTAAGAGAGTTCTTCTACCATTCGTATTTTCTTAGTACTTTAATTATTCAAATGCTTGCAAATTTGTTACGATGATTATGCGTGGCCAAATCCCTTCGTTACGGGGTTGTGGTTAGCCATGAAATTGACATTTGATTGTTATTTTTGCCTTTAATACGAATTACTATTACATGGTTATTTTTTAACTCTATGTTTAATTGCTTGATTGTCTAGCTAATAATTAAGTTCTATTGACTATCTAGATTATGCTTGAAAAGTTATTTTTAGATTAGAGAAGAGTTAAATAAAGCATGATCTTATCTCTAAAGTTAGGGACAGATTTGTGGTTAGGATAGAATTACACATAGTCACCATGCTTAATTGAATACTATGATCTTAATGCATTCAAGGCATTAACCTATCTTGAGCAGGCAAGTAATAATTTGAGAGAATACTAAGAGTAAATATAATCTGGTTAATTAGTAGTCATAAGCGATTCGAATTGAAAGGGATTTAACTAGAACTAAATAAGATTGGTGAATCAACTACTACCCTAAAATATTCATCTCTACTGAAGTAACTCTAAACAATAATTCTTTGTTGTCCTAGTTTAATATTTTTTTTTTATTTTGCATCCATAGTTTCATATCAAAACTCAACCTTTGATCCACTTAGTTGACTAATAATTTTAGTTGAATTAGTAGGTAGTTAACTACAAGTTTATGTGGGTTCGACACTCTTTTTTATTACTTTATTACTTATCGAGCATGTATACTTGTGTGTGTATTTGGGATCAACAAATTTTTTATGTCGTTGCTGGAGACTTAGAAATTAACTACTTTACTAGATTTGGGTTTTATTGTTTATTTAGTCAAGTTTAATTTTTCTTTTTGGTTGTTTCTGATCTCGGGTACTTTTGCTTGAATGCAATGGGTTAGATGTTTGACCCGGAACCTGATAGGATATTTCGTAGAAGGTTGAGAGAAACGAGGGAAGAAAATAACCTCTAGGCACTTATTCAATTACTTGGTAAGATGGCGGATGCACAACCATTAGCAGTGCAAGAGGTGATGATGCCCAGCATTACTAATGTTACCTCTAGTATCCTTAAGCCTAGAATCACTGGCACTTTGAGCTCAAACAAAGCATGATCCAGCTGCTATAATTGAATGATCAATTTATGGGCCTACCACATGAGGACCCTTAACAATATATCCTGAATCAGTGATACTTATATCACGAATGTAGTCACATTGGACTATGTGTGACTCATATTGTTCCCTTTCTCTCTATTAGGCGAGGCTAAGAGATGGTTGAAAACTTAACTAACGAACTCTATTATGTCATGGAATGATCTAGCTTGCAAGTTATTGGCAAGGTTCTTCCCATCCAGTAAGAAAACAAAGACTCGAAGTGAAATAGTTATCTTTAAACAGAAGGAGGACGAGTCACTATATTCAGTTTGGGAGAGGTTCAAGAGACTACTTCAGGATTGTCCGCATCATAATCAGACTAATAAAGTTTTGGCTTACACCTTTATTGAAGGTCTTTATTCGGAGACAAAAATAGTGATAGATGTTGCAGAAAGTGGACAAATGTTGGAGAAGAGTTTTGATGAGATTTATGCACTCTTGTATAAGTTCTCGAAGAGTAATACAAGTGGATTCTTTGGCGAATCAATCAACAAAATGGCTATGGTCTTGAATAAACAAAAAGTTCAACTGGTACAACAAGTGCAATTATTTTGCGAAGTATGTGTAGAAGGTCACACCAGCAACTTATGCCCAACAAATTTAGAGTCAGTATATTTTGTGGTTAATGCAAATAGAGGCCAAGAAAATTAGTATGAGAATACTTATAATCCCAATTGGAGGAACTACCCAAATTTTCTTGGGGCAACAATCAAGGGAATTAACCACAGTATGGATCACAGGCTTAACAACAATAGTTTCGACCATCATAGGTTGATCAGTCCACGAATTCGATGGATAGTATTGAAGAGATGCTCAAGAAGATAATGGTTGATAATCAAATCTACTGCTATCCCTAATTTGGAAAGACAAGTGGGGTAACTTGCTAGCGCCCGAAATATCCGACCAGCGGGGGCACTTTGTAGTGACACCAAGGTGAATCCTCAAGCTCATGTTAATGTTGTGATATTAAGGAATGGGAGAGAGTTGGTGGAAGTGCCATCCAAAAAGAGAAAGCAATTAACTTTCACTGAGAAATAAGTTCCAGTGGAAGATGAGATAAAAGTTTCAAATGAACTCCTCATTTCCCATAGATATTGTAAAAAGTGAAGAACAATGTTGCATACAAAATGTTACTGGTTATTCTGAAACATGTGCAAAATCAATATTCCATTGATGGACATCTTGCAAGAAATGCCAAAATATGCAAGATACATCAAGAAGATTGTTGCAAATAAATGGAGGTTAGCTGAGTTCAAAATTGTGGCACTCATGGAAGAATTTAGTTCAAGAATTCAAAATAAACTACCTCAAAAGTTGAAGGATCTAAGGAGATTCATTATTCAGATTTCAATTGGTAAGCATGTAGTTAGGTGAGCTTTGTGTGATCTTGGGGCGAGTATCAACTTGATGTCTTTATCCATGTTTAAACAGTTAGGATTGGGTGATCCTCGACTGACAACAATGATCTAATAGTTGGCAGACAGATCTCTAGATAGCCTAAAAGGGATGATCGAAGATGTGTTGGTATAGTGGCATCATTCATATTTCTCGCCGATTTTATTATCCTAGATTATGAACCTGAGCAGGAAGTCCCATTTATTTCAGGACGACCATTCCTAGCCACTAGTTTTACTATTATTGATATATATGAAGAGAAGATAACGATGAGAGTGAGTGACCTAGTAGAAGTTTTTAATGTGTATAGAACACTCAACCTGCAGCCTATTACAAAGACTTGGCCATGATTTCATTTGTGGAGGACAATGTGATCACTGTGATGCCACATATGACCATTGTAGATCCCATTGAAAGAGCTTTGTTGGGTGATAAAGAGGAAAGTGAAGATGAGCTAGTAGAGAAAATTGAGAAAATACTTAACATGACATATAAGTATGTTCATGGACTTGGACGGTTCGAACAACTTGATAAA